CCTCTGCAGAGACACATGCAGGTCCGGGCCCTGCCCCCAGCCCCCCGCTTGCCCTCACCCTGCCGCTGGCCTGGGCACCCCAGCCTTGGAGGTCCCATCCCCTCCGCAGTCCTTGGGGTCCCAAATGCCTCTCCTTGTCGTGGCAGCACGGTGGCCTCGCATGGCCTGCGGGCAGGGAGGGAGGGGAGGGATGGAAGGCCCCCAGCAGTCCTGGGCATGGAGCCACAGCTGTCTGCAGGGGCTCTGTTGCTTCTTGTTCCAGGCTGCTTCCCATCTCCACCAGTGCGGGATGTTGGCACGAGCTCGGGAGCCCCTCTCTTCTCCCCGCTGCCCTCAGACATGTCGGTGCCCTGGCAGATGGACGGTAGGTCCTGGAGTCTGGCCATGTGGTTGCCTGACAAACCTGTGGCATTGCCCTCACTGGGGAAGGATGGAGAGCCCAGGGTAGTGCCAGGCCCCTGGGACAGTGAGACTGGAGGGTGAGCAGGCAGTGGCCTTCACCCAGCCCTACTTTGCCTGCAGAGCTATGTGGAGCTGACCCACCAGCAAGGAAGAGCGAGGGGCTGACAGGGGCTCACGTTATTGGCCGCCTGGACACCTACCGGGCCTTGGAGCAGCGTGTCGTGGAGGGGAAGGCGCTGGCCCGCGAGCTGATGTGTCTCACACGCCCGGCACTCGGGCTGCCCAACCACCCACTCCCGGGCAAGCAGGTAAAGCGCGGGCAGGACGGGGCTGGAGCCAGCCCAGGGACGGACCCTGCTCCGTGGCCTGGGGCAGGCAAGGCCATGTGTCAGGAGACCCCCATCTCCTCCTCAACCACTGATGAGTCAGGCTGGTACCAGTGGGGCCAGATGGCAATTTGGGTGATTTAAATGCATATGTGCACGCACACGCACACATGCACTCCCAGCTATGCTGGATCTTTGCCGCGGGGGTTCCCCGCAGCAGGCACACGTGCGCGCTCGGTGCAGCACACATCCAGCTGAGGCTGTAGCCCAATGCGGGCCACGCTGTGCTGGGCTGAGCCCTGCTGTCGGTGCATGCCCTCCTGGACCTGTTTGCACCTCCAGGTGGTCCTCAGCCCTTGGACCCTGTGCGTGCCGAGGACGTGAGCCACCTAGGCTGTGGCAGGCCCCTAACCTTGCTGCTCAGCTTGGTTTTTGTCTTAGCTATTCCCCATGCGGGAGCCCAATACCCAGCCCTGAGCTTGCAGGGTTGGTACGTGGCTGGTCGTGTCCCACCTGTGGGCTGTTGCTGGCTGGGTACAGCAAGCCCTTGGCCACAGTGGGACGTGGGTGTCCCTGCAGCACTTGTTCCTGCACCCTTCTCCCGCAGGTCCCGGGGTGCGCTGGTGCAAGGCGCCTGTGGGGCAGTGCCAACACCCTGCACCGCGTGCTGGAGGAGTGCGCGTCTCTTCTCGCCGCTTTCTGGAGTGCCACGCTGCCCGCTGGCCCTGCCCAGCACCAGGGCAAGGTAAGGACTGGGCTGGGGAGCAGTGCCAAATACCTGGATAAGTTCAGGGGGAGGCAGCAGAGCCAGGTGCTCACAGCTCATCGCACTCGCGTCATCCTAGGAGCAGGCGCTGCAGGGCGAGATCGCGGCACTGCGGGCCCAGCTCTCGGAGAGGGAGGATGCCCTGCAGAGCACGGCGGAGCGCCTGCGCAGCACCGCCCGCCTCAAGGACAGCATGGAGCAGTTCATCGTGAGCCAGCGTAGGTGGCCAGGACGGGTGGGTGGGCAGGCTGGGAGAGCACCCTGCGGTGCGGTGGGCTGGGCACACCGGCAGGCCTGGTCCCCATGTGCCTGGGGTTGCTCCTCAGCAAAGGGCTCTCACTGACTCTGTCCCTCTCTGACAGTGACCAGGACTCACAACGTGCTGCGCAAGGCCAGGACAAACCTGGAGGTGAGTTTGGCCTGGCAGCCAGTGTGGGACAGGGCCTGCTGCCACCGCTGGCTGAGCCCTCACCACCACGCATGCTCTCTCACCAGGTAAAGGCCCAGCAGGCCCTGCCCGTCGCGTGAGCCCTGTACGTCAGCCTTCTGGCCTCCGCACCCTGCACCGGAGGGCTGGACCGGACCCAGTCTGTACTACTGCCGAGGGGCTGGGGGAGGCAGGGCCGAGGGGGCCTGCGGCACTGTCCTAGGGCCGGGCCTGCTGCAGGCGCTGGACAAGTAGCGAGTTTGGGCTCCCGCACTGTGGCGCTTGCGTGCCCTCCGTCCAGCTTTGCTTGGTGTTGCAGCAGCAGCTGCTGGCTTGTGCTCTGCCTGCCCCCCCAACTTCAGTGCCCACCCCTTCCTCCAACCCTCCAAGGGGAACAGCGCTCTCTGCTGAGCCCTTCTCACCCTGGGACCTTGTCCTGTTTGTAACCTGGCCACACACCTGTCCCTGCTTGTGGATGTACGTATTTATATATATATTATATATATATGTACATATAGATATCAGAGCTGCATTTTTGGGGGCTCCCTGGGCACATCAGGGCCCCAGCGCGAGAGGAAGATGTAAGAAATGATGCGTTCTGTTCAGCAGCTGAGAGTCCCCAATAAAGGTTTCCTTTGGGTTATGGTGTTTGTAGCACGCTGGTCTGTACAGCTGTGCCCCCCTCCGCCAGGGTACCCCAAGGGTGCAGGAGACCTCCACCTCACCCCCCCGCCGTAGGTACCAGCTGGCCCCTAGGAGGTAGAGCTGAGCCCCACACCAGCACCCTGAGGCAGCC